CATCTGGGGAGAGTGGGGGGTGGCGGCTTCTGCTGCTGCACACACCCTCGGAAGGCATGAGGGGCATGTGCCCCCAGATCTGTGTGTGGGGCAGGATGGGCTGCCACTGCGGGCTGGGGCTGGGGCAGCACTGGGCTCTTCCTGGAAGGGGTGTTGGGCTGGGCTGCGCTCTGGGTGGACAGCAGTGGTGCTGGGAGGGGGGTACAGGGGGAACTGCAGCCACCCCAAAATTTGCCGTAGTTCCTCCCAACCTCCTCTCCCAGTGCCGCCACCACCCGCCCCAAGCCCAGCCCAATCCCCTGCTGGGAAGAGTACAGCACTGCCCCCGGCTCCAGCCTGCAGCAGCAGCTGCCATCGCCCCACACACAGATCTGGGGCCACACACTTCCATGCCATTCTGTGGTATGTGCAACGGTGGAAGCTGCCCCCCGCACCCCCAGATGAGCTGCTCACAGCTCCGTCCTGTGCTTCACCACAGCTGTGCAGTGCCTGCCCCTGCCCTGCCCCAGCCCCACTCCCTCACCACTGGGGCCTAGATCTGCCCCCCCCACCCCTTCCCCCACAACAGACTTACCAGCCAGACCCAGCTTCTCTCCATGCTTCCAGGCTGTGCTTCTAGCCACCTGCGTGCTGCGCTGTGGCTGCGTGCATTCACAGGGCATTTATCAGTGGCATGAGCAGCCACATCAGCCAAAAAAAGCTGATGGCTGACATAGTCAAATGTCCTTATATTGGTGCCGATCTAACATGGAACCGATGTATCAGTGCATCTCTACTACCCAGTCCTGTGAGTGCCCCCTGAGGATATTCTAGGCCATGGAGTGAGATTCTGCCATTGAGAACAAATGGCTCTGAAGTCCCTTTGCATGTTTAGGTGAAGTAAGAACATGCAAGTAGCAGTTGCTTTTCTTGTAGCACACTTGGGGAGGGTAGGATCCTCTGAGGAGATGGACCAAGTGTCAAGAGCCCCAGCCAGACTGGGTTCCATTTCCTTCTGCGTGGGCGCATCTACATGTTCATTAGTGCACCATAGTTACTGTGTATTAATAACCAAGTGCTAAATCAATGTTCAGTAACCGGCACAACTGCACAGTAGCGCCAGTACACGGCTATTTAGTGATGCTAACTGTACAGTAGTCTACTACTACTGCATAGTAACGTATTAGCACAGTTTTTGTCGTGACACACTGCGCAGTAGTATTAGGCTACTGTGCAGTTACCATCTCATGCAGATGTGCCCAGTAAAAAATAACTTAGTTTTGATCAAGCATTGGAACTCCAGCTCGAGGCACGTGTTCTGCCCAGAACAAAGATTAATGTTAATGTCAGAGCAGTCAGCCAGGTCAGAACGCTCACATAGGTTCTTAGACAGCGTGCAGGATCTCCATCTAACCCAGGAGGTGCACAGCCCTACCAGGGGGGATGCCTTGTTGGACCTAGTGCTGGCCACGGGTGATGACCTGGTGAGGGGGCTGCGGGTGCTCGACCACCTGGGCGACAGCGATCATTGCCTGCTGGAATTCACCAT